TTGGTGACATCCAAGAGGCAGAAATTCTCAAATGAGAGAAAATCAAATTTTACCCTTTCTATTTCATTCGTTCTGGGGAAAACAGCTTTTGCCTAATCTTCAGCACATGTTCCTTTTAATCAATCATAATTAACACTGACTTTCAGTCTTCTCTACACTTTATGCTCATCAATCAAATCTCAGACATCCATCACTCAAAGGTCCCAGGTGGCTCATAGCCTTGGCTTCTCATGATCAGGATTCCACCTCACCCATTTCCTGAGTAGAGGGGGTTTTCTGCATTTCCACGGCAGTTAACCACAGCAAGAATGCAGGGATAACTTCCCCAAGATTGACCAACATCTTAGTTATACCAGGACTAAGGAGTATTCAAGGAGCTCTGGTAGCATAGTGCCTCAGGCATTTGACTGCTAACCAGAAGGCTGGCAGTTCAAACCCACCAGCCACTCCTCAGAAGGAAGGTTGGGCAATCTACTTCTGTAGTGATACTGCCTGGGAAACCCAAGGAGGGGTTGCAATGCATCAGGTCTGACTCTAGGGCCTGTAAGGACAACAACAAAGGAGTTTTCAAGTGCTAAACCCAGGTCAGTCCAAGGTAAAGAAAGCAGAATCCAAATAAGGATCCTCCCCACCAAGGAATTATTGCTAGGGCAGTGTCTGGTTTAAATGTATATGAAAGAGCTAGTGGGGGGGGGGGTAAAAAACACAAAAGAATGGCATGAAGCTAGGTTTGTGGACTGACTGCATGACTATGAGACCCAATTCTGTTCAATGTCACCTGACAAATTACCTCTTACAGATTTTCACTTCCTTCCACCCTCACTAGCATAATGTACTAGAGAGCTGTGGTCCTGCCCAATTGTCCTAGTTACTAAAACTGCTGAAAATGAGTTCTTATTCTCATCATTTCACACCTTCACTAATGCAGAGCCCTTGCAGTGTAATTGTGATTTTTTTGTTTTTACCTTCAGAGCAGTGAATTTTATTATAATTATCATGGCTGCACCTACAACATAAGATCTCCAAATGAGAAATAAAAAATTCCACTAAGGCTTACAAATACCTTGATGCTTTGTAAGAGTTGATTCAACAGCTGTTTGAAAAGATGAAGAGTTTTTCCTTCCATATCGGTATTTTAAGTGGTAGATCCTGATAAAATAGTACTGAATTTCCTGGAATCTGTAGATATTATTTCCACTCCAGTAATTCTTGTTAGAGAGCATGTCATACTACTAATAATAATAGTTAATAATAAATATTATTATTATTTCATAGTGTTAGACCTGCAGAAAGCTGAAAGTTGAATTAACTAAGAAATAATTTCAATAACAATTTCCTATTAATGAAAAGTCCACCCTAAGTCATAAGCATGAAGCAACTCAAGCTAGGATTTGTTTTTAATGTGACACTGATTATTGAAATCATTCCACTGTTTTCCAAGCTAATTTTAAAAAGAAAAAAATCATGATCATGAGGGAATAAACATGGATTTCTTTTGTTTTTCTTAAAAATGTTCATTATTTCTGCAAAAAATTATTTTTTTCAACATTAGAAAATCAATCAACATAATATAGTATATCAGTAGAACAAAGGAAAAGAATTACTTGATCATCTATGTGGATGCAGAAATGTATTTGATAAAATCCAACAGCTTTTCTGGATGAAAATACAAAAGAATATTGGAATAAAAGAAGAAATTCTCAGTATGATTGAGGCATATATGAAAAGTCAACAACTAACATTATATTTAATGGAGAATGATCAAGAGGTTTACCCTTGAAACTGGGAACAAGACAAAGATGCCCGCTTTCAGCACTTCTATTGAATATTGCATTAGAAGTCATAGCCAGAGCAGTAAAGCAAGAAAAAGAAATAAAAGGTATCGAGATTAGAAAAGAAAAAGTAAAATGATCTCTATTCACAGATTATATGATCTTGTGCATAGAAAATTGCAGAGTTCACAAGAAAACTTTTAGAGCTAAAGAGGAGTTGGTAGCATAGTGCCTAAGGCACTTGACTGCTAACCATAAGGCTGGTGGTTCAAACCCACCAGCCACTCCTCGGAAGGAAGGTTGGGCAGTCTACTTCCTCAGTGATACTGCCTCGGAAACCCAAGGAGGGGTCGCTATGAGTTGGGGCCGACTCCACGGCACATACAACAACAACAACAAGCAAAGTTGCAGGGTATAAGGTCAACACACATAATCATTTGGATTTCTATACACCAGCAGTGACAAATCTGAAATGGAAATTAGGGAACTAATTACATCACAATAGCATTTAAGAGAATAAAATGCCTATGAATACATCTAACCAGCGACATGAAGGACTTATACAATAAAAAAATAAAACACTGCTGAAAGAGATTTAAAAAGACTTAATAAATGGAAAGATGTTCCTGAGTGGAAGACTTAATATTGTTAAAATGGTATACTACCCAGAGCAATCTGTAGATTCAATGCAATACCAATGAAAATTCCAACAGCCTTCTTTACAGAAAAGGAAAATCCAGGTCTCAACTTTATGGGGATGGCTAGAGACCCTGAGTACTTAAAAGCAATGTTGAAAAAGAAGAACAAAGTATTGGGACACCCATTTCCTATTTCAAACCATTTTACACAGCACAGTAATCAAAATAGTCTGGTACTGCTATAACAATAGGTATGTATCATTGGGAGTCCAGAAATAAACCCACACATCTATGCTCAATAGATTTTGACAAGGGTATTAAATACATTCAATGGGAAAAGAAGAATCTCTTCAATAAATTGTTCTGAGAAAACTGCATTTCCACATACGGAAAATTGAAATAGGACCCATGCCTCACACTGTACACAAAACAACTTTAAAATGAATCAAGAATTTCAATGTGAAAGCTATAAAATTCTTAGAAGAAAATGCAGGGCCAATGCCGTTGTGTCTAGCTTTAATGATGGATTATCTTACATAATAACAGAAGCACAAACAATAAAAGGCAAACTAAATAAATGAGACCTCATAAAATTTAAAACTTCAGTTCATTAAAAGTTTACCAAAAAAAAAAAAGAAGAGACAAGGTATCAACTGGGAGAATATCTTCAGAAACCGTATATCTGAGAAGAACTTAATAACTATATATATATATAGGCAGTTAACCACAGCAAGAATGCAGGGATAACTTCCCCAAGATTGACCAACATCTTAGTTATACCAGGACTAAGGAGTATTCAAGGAGCTCTGG